GTCCATGCTGTGGATGTGCTCATTCTTCATCTCAATGACAAAGTGTAGGCTCTCCAGCTCCTGTTCCCAGAAGGGGCTGGGGCTCCCGTGCTCCTGCAGGGCAGAGGGTGCTTTAGCTGCAGCAGGGTGGGCACTTGGGGTTCACCCCCTCCCCCCCACCACATGACCCCATCACTTGTGTTCAAGGGACCCCAACAGCCCAGGCTCCTCCCAGGGACAGGGCTTTGTTCCCCCCTTCAGTTGTCCTGTGCCCCCCCTGGCGAGAAGCACCCTGGCTTTGGGCCAGCACTCTGGTGGCAGGTCCCCTCCCTGACACCCCTCCCTGCACCTGGATGTGCTTCTTGTAGTCTGTGCTCAAAAGTGACTCCTCCACCCGCTTCATCCTCTCCTGGAAGGACTTCAGCTGGGAATTCAGTGCCTGGATGGTTTCCTAGGACAACCGGGGAAGAAGCAGGATGAGAGGTGTCCGGGATTTCCTCCTGAGCAGGGGCACTGCTGGGCTATGGCACCCTGAAAACCTCAGGGCTAGAGGAGCCTGCATGGTCCCTGGGCACACCAGGGACCAAGGTGGCTACCAAGGAGTTTGGGGCACCATGGCAGACCCAGCAGATGGTCCTCAAGCCCTCCACAAGCACCCCCTCCCCAGGGATTTCTCTGCAGGTACCTGTAAGGCTGCCTGGGACCTGTGGTGGGACTCTGCCAGCATCAGCTTCTCCTGCTCATGTGCTCTCTGGAGCTCTGCAGGGGAACACAAGCCATGTGTCACCAGCGTGGGGACACCAGGGCAGTGAGCCCCACCTGAGCCCCACAATGATGAGGAGCAGGGAGGTGGATCCCTGCTGTCCCGTCACACACCTTGCAGGGTCTCTGTGTGCTCTCTCCTCAGGGCATCAAACTGCTCCTCCAGCTCCAGGTCTTTTCCCTTTTCCACCTGGGAAGCAGGGAGATGACAAACCCCACGTGTCTGACCCAGCATAAGGGATGTTCTGGCTCCTCTCCCCATCCCCCATGACTCATTGCCAGACCCGCACCGCTCCAGGCTTCCTAACCCCTTATCAACACCTTCCTTCTCCCCAAAACAGGAGACCCCAGCCCAGCGTGTGCCAGGTCCATGACTGCTGCCTGGGAAGTCCTGGCTGGCCACGTGCTCCCTGCCCACCCGCTGCACCCGCCTTCTCCGCCAACCTGGAGGTTGTTGTCCCGGGTGATTCTCGTGATGCCTGCCCGGCTGGCATCCCGCAGCTGCTCCTCCTCCTCCTCCTGGCCTTGGAGGAGTCTCGTGATCTCTGTCCGCTCCTCTTGCAGTGCTGCCTTCTCCTTCCCATCCTCCGTCAACTGGGTGGCATTGGCTGCAAGGCAAACGTGGCTGAAACTGTGCTGGCCACATCCTGATAACCAGGCTGCCTGGATGTCCTGGGCAACCAACCTGCCAGCGTGGTGGCCTGAGTTCAGTCCCTGTCCTCTTCCCACTGGACAAATACCTCCCCCCATCTCACTGGTGCAAATTAGCATTAATTGGGATGGTGCTGGCAGGCTCAGAGAGGACACAACTCATTAGATCTCCTGCCCTGGGGACAAGCTGTTGGAGAGGATGAGATGCCATGGTCTCTGGGATGGCATCGTCTCTGGGATGGCATCATCTCTGGGATGCCACTGTCTCTGGGATGCCATTGTCTCTGAGATGGCATCATGTCTGCTTGCCTGCACCAGCACCATGTGGAGGCTGCAGCCATCATCCTCATCCTCCCTGGCCCCAGTGCAGGCTGGCTGCCCTGGTCTCTGTCCTACTGCTTTCTTAATATCACACTGAGAAAGTGCAGTGAAGGGGAGACACATATTTTCTTCTCACCGTTCTCTGTCTTCAAGGCTGTGAGCTCCTGGGAAGCTGGTCCCCTCTGCTGCTGGGCTTTTAGCTGGTTCTGGCAGAGAGAGAGGGGGCTGGAGCAGGGGGGACACAAAGGAGGGCAGGTAGCTGCAGGCAGAAGACACCCTGCAGCTGGGCACCCTGTGCTGAGTGCACTTCAGCCCTGCCAAAACAAGGGTGCTCGAGCAGCACAGGTCCCTCCCCGACCCCCTGCCCTCTGCCAGCCCTGAGCACCCATGGGTGCAAACACGGTGCCGTTTCCCTGCACCCCAGACATTTTGCCATGTGGCATCGCCAGCCACTGGCTGGAAAACCTTGGGGAATGCTCACAACCCCCCTGACATGGTGCTGGTGCAAAATAAGCTCTGGCAGCAAAACATTTGGTAGGGGAGAGCAGGCAGCACTTGGCAGGGCTCTGGCTACGGCACTTCTTTGTCACCCTGCTCCTGTCCCATCCCCACCACCAAGGGATGCTCAGGGCCAACGTGGCACCCTGCAGCACCCACACACCCCTCTGACAGTGTTTGACACAGCTGGGCTTGGACACAGCACGTGCCGGAGCAGGAGTGAGAACTAAAAAAATAACCATAAATCAGAGGTGATGGTGACCCCGTGCAGGGCTGGCAGCGGGC